CATATGGTAAAGTGTCTATACCATATGGTAAAGTGTATATACCATATGGTAATGTGTCTATACCATATGGTAAAATGTATACCATATGGTAAAGTGTGGTAACGAAATGTATTTTTATGGATATCGTGTTTTACTATGGTCGTAAAAGGGTTGTAATTAGATTTATATTATTTTTATATGGTTTTAACTTCTCATACCATGTGGTATTGTATGGTAATTACAATTAATTTGTGTTCATTCGATTAACCATGTTCTACTATGTTGGCATTGTATGGTAGTTAGATTTACCATATGTTGATATTACCACACTATACCATATGGTATTGGGTGGTAACGAAATATATATTGATATTACCACACTATACCATATGGTATTGGGTGGTAACGTAATATATATTGATGTGCCAAATGTTTTCATACCATATGGTATGGTCAATACCAGTCATTACCATATGGTAATGACTGGTAATAACTGACAAATTTTTTTATGTCTGAAAAATATCAAAGTGGATATCATTTTGAAGAGCACAATTAATCTGATCTCACTGTGCAAAAAAAATTAAATTCCGACTTAAAACGAGTGAGAAATCGTCCGTTAAAGATTAAGAGAAGGAAAATTAAAGGTTGTTTGAGGAGAGAGAAGGCGCTGATGTGATCTGGTCAGCGCGTCAGCGCGTCAGCGCGTTAGAGACATCATTAAATAGGGGTGCAATTTTACCTTAGTGCCCCTCCGTATTTTTTTTAAATAAAAAGAAAAAGCTGACACGTGGGGGCCAGGGGAAGGGGTTACTGATGGTTACTGAGGTATTGGTTACTGAGGGGATCCGCTCCCGGGCAGAGGAATAGATACAGGGGAGGAGGATGTGGCTTTCGAATCCGAATTGGGGAAGGATTTCTTATCCGGCACCGCTTCAGTTTGGGCCTGTATCTGATGGGCTTGGCCCACAAGCCCGTTCAAAACCACGTACAAAAAAGTAAAAAGAGACATGGATTGGAAGCACACTAATTTCCATTTTCCTTGTACCAGAACAGAGACAGTTGGGAGTTTGGAAGTCTGAACCATTGGTGAAAGGCCATTGCTGGGTTGAGACTTGGGACCAAAGATGGAAAAGAGGAGAATCTATTCAATCTTTCTTTAAAAGTAGTGATCTTGGTGGCATCAAGATTCGTGCTGCGACATGACCTGACTATCCATTCAGCTTGCTTTTCCCCTATATTTATCACCAGTTGAAACTTGACAAGTCCTCTCCAATAAAGAAGGGTATATCCACAGGCATAAACCATGCTTTTCCCTCCTCTAGCTCCTTCACCAAAGAATATGCCATCCCTTTGCCGAAGGGTTTATCCCCATCTCTCTCCCGCCCTCTTATATACCCAACAACAACCCAAATGAGATCTGCAGGGCCAAATTGTAAACCATCTATAAGCAAATCAGTCGTAGGGCACCTCTGACTTGGCAGGCAATCCGGCCGGCGAAGGGAACATAGTCTCTCTCTCAGGGGTACTACATTGCCGGCTTTGGGGGCTTGCCAAAGGAGAGTTGCCCTGTGATTGCTTTTTTGCTTACTCACGAAAACCCATATTGGCGTAAAGGGTAAGTTCAATTCAACTTTGATGCTTCAGCTTCAGCTTCATTTTCATTGGTAAAGCATATACAAGTACAAGACACTTGACATTTGCTCCTGTTTCCGTTCATCTTTGATAGAGTTAAAATGCCTGAATTGTGGTCGCTTTAAGAGACAAACAACATTCGTGTCGCTTTTGTTTGTGTCCAATATGCCTGAGGACAAAACATGCACAAAACTTAGTCTAGGCCTGGACAAAGTGCCAAGTGGGTTGATGATCAGTCATTAGCCACATACTGGAGAGGTTTTTTTTTTCTCTCTCCCTATTTTGTCCTTTCTTTCGTTTATTAATCTGAAGGAGGATTGAAAGAGTTTGTTGAGCTATTTCTTCACGTCTTCAACTCAACCACTATCAGTATATTAATCAATGGAGGCATGATACTTAACCAGAAAGGGTAGGTTTGATACCATTTATAAAGATTGAGACACCTATTAACTGTCATTTTGGGGGGGAGGAAATGTTCCACGACCCAAATAGTGTGAAGTTGGGGTCCAATTGTCAGTCAGTCTATATGATGTACATTCTTATTCGAGCAAATCTCATCACTTCTCCGTCGCTGATATATCTCAAAACTAAGACTATTCCATTGGATCATTATTTTCCCTCATCCTATCCTGATCTTGATCGTTCATTTTTCTATTTGCTCATCGTCGTTCGCGTCGCCCTCTGTGCCGCGCTCGTCCTTGCCATGTTTGTTGCGTTGCTCCCTCGTGCACCGCCATTGACTTCATTCGTCCATCCGCTGCAATCGAGTTGCCACTCTCTGATTCCTTTAGTATGTGTAGGTATAGACTTAGGGTCGGTTTTGGATTTCAGATCCGGTCTCTTTCAGTGGCTTCTCGGCGAGCATGGCAGTGGAAGCAAATTTTGTAGATCTGTAGTATTTTTATGTGTAGTGTTTTTACTTTTTGATGGTTTTCGCCTTAATATACAATATTATTGTTGGTTTGTGGTTTCCGGATCACTTAGTAGTAAAATGATTTTTCTAGATCTATAGTAGTTTATGTGGGATATGAAGTCGCCATTTTATTCTCTCATTATTTGCTATTTTATAACCGGGAATGGAGTAGTGGAGTAAAGGCTCTACTTTTTTATTTTTGTTAATTAGACTTCAATTTTCCTAATGTTGACAATTGTCATTGATTGTGAGTATACTATACTTACAAGAGGTGAATAATACCGTTGGTGGTATATTTTCGATAGTATCGACATTGCCTTAAGGGCAAGATTTAATCTCTTGTGATAGAGATTTCTAGCACCATATATAGTCGTGTATTTCTGTTTGGTCTTTTTGCAGGTGTTCATATGGTATGAAAGTAACTTAAGGAAGTAATATAAGTTTCATCGATCTATCAGGTGATAGTTTATTTTTTGGCTTTAACAAATTTGCGAGAGTAATCAATCATGCTCAGTGAAAGAGTGCTAATGTTATTTTCTTTTCTTTGTTGTGATTTTTGTGGCAACTCGACACTGGTCCGGTATACTCCGTCGAAGGAAACTACACTCGCCGGCGGGACTACCTTGGCGATGCTGGATTTTTGTGTTTATTTTGTGTCTTTTTCCCGTCAGTGTCGTGTCTTTGCTCCTCGGAGCTTCTTCAGAGCTGCCCAAGTAGTGGCTTTACAGGCTCTTTCATCGATAGTCTGGTTGCATACGAACTAACGTCCAGTATTTGAGTCGGTCTTGTAATCGTGTCGAGTCTTTGTCCCATGCCCTTTGGGCTTGCCTTGGAAAAAAAAAAAAAAAAAATCTCATCACGAATATCGTTCTTCAGTAACGACTTACAAAATTATCATTTCTAAATCATATGAAAAAAGTATTCGACGCAAAATGGTTTTTCGTTTTATTGTTTCCAGTCGTATGTCATACGTTTGAAAAGAACATCATAATTTGAGAAACAAAGAGTCAGTTTTTGCAACTTCTTGGTTTCCCATTGATGTGTTTGGAAGAAGACTTTTTCATTCATACTTCATTGTCCAAAATGCTAATAATACTGATTGACATTCACTTTCCCTCTTTCTGCTGTTTGAGCAAATTATTCTCCCCGTAATGCATGGCTTTTCTTCCTTGGTGCTCTGCTTGCTTTTTCCCTAATAGACTAACCATGCAAGCTTTCCCCTTTTTCGTAGTCTTGAATAACATCCTTTTGTTATCTTGGCCGCAACCTGTTCCCTCCAATTTCCCAGTTGCCTGCACACAAGGAAAAATGAAACCCTCAATCCTACCATACACATAAAATTTGCACAGAAAAGGGGACCCTATAATGGAATAGGTGGGAAATCAATGGAAATTGGTCCTTTCCCGCCCAACCCAATTGACGATGCCAGTGCAATGATTAAATAGATACCACTAATTAAAAAAAAAGTTGAAGAAAAGGAAAATTGATTCACCAGGAATGTATCTGCTTGGCACCAGATTAATGGGGAGATGTGCACTTTGCAGGGAGAAAGTGGAAACAGAGGAAATAATTCATTACCTAAGAGCCTTAAATCGGAAGCAAGCATTTGAAAGACCAAAACCCATCAAAAAAGGATGCAACTTTATATGATTGATAGAAGGCAATAAGCTGTGCTTTTGCTTTGTTGCTCTGCCTCCCCACCATTACTTGCCATAATTCACGCCCATCCCTGAAAAAATGCGTAAACATAAAGAGAGTCCCCAAATCCTTAATCATAGCTACCTGTTCTGCTTCTACTTTCTAGTTTCTACAACCCATCAAAGTGCAAATAAGGTTTCATCACTAACACCCACCAAAAAATTAACATATTAAGAGCAAGTCTACTTCAGGTGATGCAAGATAGTCCGGAAAGAAACACATGTAGTGCAGTGAAAATTCCCATGTCATGGGAGAAGACTCACGTCAGATTGTTGTTACTTAGTTGTGGGTTGTGCGTGGTTCAAGCCGGTCTTGATTCTGTTGCATTATATAACAAGCACCAAGCATGCTGCAAAAGAAGCTCCTGAATTTCATATTAGCAGGTAGTGATATTGCTGTCTCAATCACTTAATATGTGAAAAGAGTTCCGAGTTCTAGCTAAAACTAGCATTTTGTACCGTTACCAGCAAAGCATAGTCAACGGGGGGACAAGAAGAGGACATGGTCAGCCTTAATTAATTATTCGACTAATTCAAAGAAAGTTGTATCTTGCACCAAATGGGCCACCCCGTCCCTATCATTCATTAATTGTTAAAATAACGATTGAAATTAGACCTCCCTAGGCAGACTCGTTCTAAACAGCGTTGTGATAATCACTTCACCATATAAAAACATTTGGATGGCCAACCAGAAACAAACAAGATACCTCTCACAGCGGGAAACAAGAGAGAAGAACATTATAGAGTTGGTAAGGAAAGGAAAAGAGGGATAGGGAGAGATGCAATCTCCTTGTCTAAACGACTTCCCTGAAGCATTCCTTCTTCAAGGGTGCTGCCCTGGCCCTCTCCTCGGCTATCTTGAACCCCTCAACAAGCCTCCTGACAACAAGAAATCATCCACCACCACAACAACGACCACCTTGGCCACCAGCCGTCGAAACTTCACTACTGCAACTAATTCCTCCATTTTCCCGGCCACCCACTTCACAAATCCCGACTCTCTACCCTCTCTGCTCAATGCATTCGCAGAATTCACCAAAGCATACCCGCAGTACTCTGCAACGTACGAGGTAGATAAGATTCGAATCAAAGACTACCACCATCTCTCGAAATCCAACCATACTTGCCTTGACTACATTGGAATCGGCCTCTTCTCCTATTCCCAAGTACAATCAGGTGATTCTATAGGACAAGATGTTGGACCATCTTCATCTTCTGCTTCTCTTTCGCCACAACTACAAAGTTCGAATCTTCCCTACTTTACCGTGTGTTACAAGACCTCCCGGGAGTCTTAAGACGCAGCTCCTCCATGGTGGTCAGGAATCGGAGCTAGAATCCGCCATGAAGAAAAGGGTCATAAGCTTCCTCAACATATCAGCAAAAGATTACATCATGGTTTTCACTACAAATAGGACTTATGCTTTCAAGCTTCTTGCAGAGTCTTACCCTTTCAAGTCCTCTAACAAGCTTCTCAGTGTGTATGACTACCAAAGCGAGGTAGTGGAAGCCATGACTAAAATCTCAGAAAGGAAAGGAGCCAAAAGCACGTCAGCAGAGTTCAACTGGCCTAGGCTTAGGATTAACTCGGCCAAGCTGAAGAAGTTGATTGTGAGGAGTAGAAAGAAGAAAAGGAAGAGAGGGCTTTTCGTCTTCCCGCTTCATTCGAGGATGACTGGAGCTAGATATCCATATTCATGGATGCGAACTGCGCAGGAGAATGAGTGGCACATACTAATCGATACTTGTGCATTGGGACCAAAGGACATGGATAGCTTTGCCCTCACCCTCATTCACCCAGATTTCATTGTCTCTTCCTTCTACAAAGTCTTTGGGGAGAACCCATCTGGGTTCAGATGTCTCTTCGTCAAGAAATACACCATTCCGTTTATGGAAGATTATACATGTGCTGGTATGGTGAGCCTCTTGCCAGGGAAGAAGTTCCATTTGCAGGATGAAATGTCTGGTGGAGATGTTGAAGTTGAATACATGCCTAAGCTCGGTTTGGAAGAAAAGGCTGAGGTGGATACATCAAACTCTTTCTCATGTCCTGTACTAGAAAAAGGAGAAGTTCCAGAGAAGCAACCTGTAGATGCATCTGTAAAGCAGAAAGAGTCAGAAACTACTGGAACAGGGAAACAAGCTAGCATTGTCCAAGCAGAGAAGACTGGGTACAGAAAGAAGCAAATATCCAAGATTGAATGCAGGGGATTGGATCAGGTGGATGCATTAGGGCTGAATGAGATCAGTAGCAGAGGAAGGTGCTTGATCAATTGGCTGGTGAACGCTTTGATGAAGCTCAAGCAAACAAACTCACAGGAAATTCCCCTTGTCCGAATATATGGACCCAAAGTGAAATTTGACAGGGTCCTGCTTTGGCTTTTAATGCGTTTGATTGGAAAGGAGAAACGATTGAAGCTACCCTGGTGCAGAAACTAGCTGACAGGAGCAATATTTCTCTTGGCTATGGATTCTTACACTGCATCTCATTCCCAGATAAGTATGAAGCAGGGAAGGCAACAGTTCTGGAAACCAAAGGAAGTCCAGGGAAGGGAATACCAACAAACAAGAAGAAAGATAAAAGAAACTTGGGAATCATGGTTGTCACAATTGCACTTGGGTTCCTATCTAATTTTGAGGACACTTACAGGCTTTGTTCTTTCATAGCTCAGTTCCTGGATGCTGACTTTGTAGAGAAAGCAAATTGGAGGTATACAGGTCTAAACCAGAAAACTATTGAAGTGTAACCAATTTATTTGTTATGACTATTATGTTGCCTGAATCAGATTGTTTGCTGTAAAAAAGAAGACATTTGAAACCGATCATCATTTCAAGCTTCAAAACCTTGCATTTGGTCCGCATGCCCATATGCTAAGCATTACTGGCATAGACGTGGACTGCATTCATACACGACTTTTAGAATCGTAAATACAACTATGCTTTTAAGAAGCCATGATCATTGAGATATGAATTAAATTATATGGAGACAACACTTACAGAGAACCATGTTTATGTGGAATGACCTTCAACTCAACCAACAAGTGGTTGGTCTTGAGTTCTAACTTCTAAAAGTGTCTGAATGTCCTTGGTTTGAGGGTGGCTAATGTCTCGCCTAAGGGAAATTCAGAGCCATACCAACCACTTCTGTAAGACCAAAAGAGTTGTCTACCCACACCCACTAACACAAGTTGCAGCATCTGGTGCATCATCCGGACCTAAGAATAAAGGTAGATCTTTGTGAAGAGATCAGTTCATACTAGTCTGAGAAACTACATCTCTCGCAACCATTTCATCGAACACTTGGTTTCCAACCCCGCCATCACCACAAATACACACAAAGAAAAACCAGCAGACCTCCGCGAACAAAGATCAGTATAGACTGAAGCCTCGTCCACGCAGTCATTCTTAAAACCGGGTAGCCCTCTACATCTTCTCTTAAATTTAGCAGACATCTCAGAACAACAGTGAAAGTGAACATGCCAGGCGAACCCATATCTCAAAACCCTTCGTAACTCCAAAGCACCGGCTTTGGCTTCTACTTAGAGGCGCAGCCGAAATAAATCCAGTAAAGGGCATATACCGCGCTATCACAATACTAGTGGAGAAATCCACAAGCGTAACGGACGCAGCCGTCGGAATGGCCAGACCATTCGATCAATCCTTTGAGCACTAACTCGTCGGATGTGAGCAAGCCCACGCATACTCCCTTGAAGGAAATTCAAGGTGTCTCATCTGCGAATACAATGCAGAAGCATCCGGTCCAGCAGTCGTTATCGCCATTGCCAGTTCCCAATCGTCTCGGATCGTTGCGCTTTTCGGGGAAGAGCTGGCCATCCTCGCACTACCGGCGACATCAAACTGCGGACATAATCCGTTAACGAAACCCCGAACAAGGTCAAACTTTGTAGTGGACAATCCTATTATTGCTCAATTTACAAAGTTGGGCTTCTCTAATGGACGGTCCAGTTCAAAGCCAATAATGCTTCACGATTGTACCAAGATTAGAGTGTTCAAACGGATTGGTTACCGTGCTACTATATAAAACCGATAGTATTCGGTTAATTTTGTTTGGTTAAACAATTTAGCTTATTTGGTTTATGTGGTTTGGTTTGGTTTCAACACTGCTAACCAATGAAACCAATTAACCAATTAATGATACACCTAATATACAAATTATTTATACTTCCATGCAACCAACCAAACCAAACTTTCGTGATTCCTATTTTATTTCCATGTGCACAACAAACCATGCGTCAAAAATTAAGATGGTCTGCCTATTTACTAAACCAAAACATTTTGGACAACTATTAGACTTTAGGAGTACGTACAATACCATGACAAACACCTCAAACTATGTATAGTTTAAATGTTGGGCTAATACCACTACAACACCCGAACTATCCGGAAAATGCCACTTGTGTCCTATTGTTTCCAATATTCCATTCATATCCTGAACTATGATACTTTGTGTCATTTGTATCCTGTCAATTTCGTTGACCGTTAAAGATAACGGTTGACCAAACGGTGGTCAACGCGAAGTTGACTTTTGTTGACGTGGCAAAAAATGTGGTTGCCACATAGATGCCACGTCACTGATCTCATATTTTTTTAATTCAAATTAAATAAAAAATTGAGTTATATTCAAAAAACTGTAAATTCAATTATATTATTAAGCCAAAATTTCAAAACAAAATAATGAAAAATCCCATCATTCTTCTTCCCTACCGATTCACCCTCTCTTTCTCTAAAAAATCTCAAAGACCTTCGATTTCCAGCTAATGAAGTCGCCGCATCATCTCCTTCTTCCCCCAATCCGACCCAGCAATGAAGACGATACCGATTTCCATTTTCCAAGCAATGAAGCCGCCGCATCATCTCCTTCTTCTCCCCTCCGCGGTCATGGGCTCTGGTTTTCTGTCAAGCTCAATACCCCATCTCCGCCGTCCGTACTCCTCCCTGATGGACGCAACTTCCGATTTGCACTTCTGGGCTCCGATTCTCTCAGCATCGACATCGATGACGGGTGCAAATAGAATCCCTTTATGCAATCACACAGTCTTTCTGCCAAAAGAAGCTACGACGGATCCGAAGAAAAATAAAACAGATCTGGTTTCATAGTTGATGTCGCCGCTTCACCTCGTCACCATCATCTCTCTGTATCCTCTTCTGGGAGTTTCTGCTACCGTCGCGCGGGTGGAATCCCACGCCAAAATCGACGAGAGGGGAGAACAGGTTCGTTCAAGTGAGCCCAAAAATCAATGGGCGGATGGAATCCCACCCCAAAATCAACTGATGTTGGTGCATTTGTCGGATTCAAGGAAACCCTTCCCAGATCGATGGCGATGACCATCCTCCTCAAATCCCTATGAACTCCCACCGGCCACCAACGACCCTCGCCCTTCTCTCCTACGATTCAACAAAGGGTTTGACTTCCCAGAAGCCAGAGTAGCAGCCTCCACCTCCAATCGATGGCGCCGCCTCCATATCCTCGAAACCCCTTCAGCTTGCTACGTTCGTGTCGGCTGTGTTGGGGAAGAAAGGAAGGAGCGATGATGCCGCCGAGCTACTGGCTCGTCGGAGGGGAGAAGATTGTGGCATTTTTTAGTTGTTGGGGAGAAGATTGCGGGGTTTCGGGGAGATTCGGGAGAAGATTGCAGCAGGAAGTAATGGAGGGGGATTCGGGGAGATTAGGTCGGATTTTTGTTTTATTTTATATTTTAAATATTTCCTTTTTCTTATTTTATTAATATTATATGGAAAAAAATTAATATTAAAAATTCCACGTCAGATGCCACATCAGTGCTGACTGGATTTTCTGTTAAAAACTAACGGTCAACAAAAGTCAACACTAACGGAATCATAGTTCAGGACACAGATGGAATATTGAAAACAATAGGACACAAGTGGCATTTTTGCGATAGTTCGGGTGTTGTAGTGGTATTAGCCCTTAAATGTTTTGTAGGAGAGGTTTAACTTCATGATGAGTGGTGTTGGTATGTATTTACTACTTATGTTAAAGGTTTGTTGTAAGCTAACTATATTAGTGCAGAGATAATGAATGATGTATTAACTCGAATGATGATGATAATCATGGATGGTTAGTCTTATTATTATTGCTTATATATAATGATAGTAATAACATATGGTTATGTTTTAGTCATTAACATGATAATTGTTTTCATGTAGTGTTAGGTTAGTTGGTTAATCCGATTAACCAAACCAATTAAACTTTGGTTTGGTTAATTTAGTTTTCGTGTTAATTTGGACGGTTTGGTTAAGACATTTTATTCCATGGCTAATGAAATTTAAGCTTAATTGGTATGGTTATTACCACGGTAACCATTTGAACACCCCTAACCAAGATCTTCCAACGCCCCCAATGAAGTTGAATCGCGCTGCCTTTAGAAATAAAATGAATTGTCGGTGTAGAATTCATTGTCAAAGGAATTCATGTGTTTGGCATATATATATATATATATATATATATATATATATATATGGTGATGACTGGTGTACGTCAGGCATATACTATATGCCAGGTGATCTAGCCGTTAGCTGTACTTAGATGAGTTCCGGCCGATCTCAACGGTCAATTTTTGTTTTTCATTAAATCAAACTTCGGGTTAGAGTTTAGAAAATCGGTGCCTGGGGTTTATCCATTAGAGGTTAGGGTATAGTATCATACCCCAAACTCGATTTAATTCATGGTCTAGATAGAGATATCTCACTAGTAGTACCTGACGTATAGTATACGCCTGAAGCACACCAGTCTGACCCATATATATATATATATATATATATATGGCAAAGGCTAGCGTACTTCCGGACGTACCATAACCTACCCTACGCCCGTTGAGTTTTTCTATTTAGACAATGAATTAACCGGATGGGTGAACCCTAGTCTGCAATTCACTAACCCAAAGCATAATATTCATTTAATCTTGAAATGAAGATCAACGGTTCTGATTCGTCGAAATTATTGTTGATTTTCATTTTAAGATTAAACGAATCTCATGATTTGGGTTAGAAAACTAGGGACTGGGGTTTATCCATTAGTGATTAGGGTATAGTATCATGCCCAAAACTCCTGTTAATTCATGATCTAAATAGCAAAACTCAAACGGGCGTACGGTAGTCTAATGTACGCCCGGGCGTACGCTAGCATGAACCATATACATATATATATATATATATGGGGAGTTCTACGGTACCCAGGGTGAAATCCGGGGTACCGCATACCAGGAGTAAGAAAACACTATCCAGAACTTGAATTGATTAATCTTTTGGACATGATACTATAATCTAACCCTTAAAGATCAAAATCTAGGTCTTAATTCTCTAAATCTTATACCCCAAGATCAATTTAATTAGAAACAATAATCGACGATCATGATTCGTCCAAATATAGGCAAAAAAATCAATGCACCATCTTAGGGTTTATAGTTTATGATTTAGATAATTAGGACCTAGGGTTCACTTGTTAAGGGTTGGGGTATAGTATCATGCCAAAAAATCCGGCTAATTCGAAGTCTAGATAGAGTTTTTGTACATAAGGTATGCGGTACCCCGGATTTCACCCGGGGTACCGTAAAAGGCACCCATATATATATATATATATATATATATATATATATATATATATGGGGAGTTCTACGGTACCCCGGGTGAAATCCGGGGTACCGCATACCTTAAGTAAGAAAACGCTATCCATAACTTGAATTGACTGATCTTTCAGACATGATACTAT